AGACTATGGAAGACCCCATCGTTTGGCTGTTTGACAGATGCTGCTGAGATTTACAGGGATCAGATGAGATGCAAGGAATATCCACAGCAACATATCCAAAAATGGTAACTTGATTTGTATTATCTGGTCTTACTGATCAATCAAAGCATGTTTACACTGCAAGTCACATWCACGAGTTGCTAACAAGTTGGAGTTGAGTGTCATACCAAAGGGCACTTTGACATGAGCTCAACAAAGCTGGGATCAAACCACCAACCTTCTGACTGGCACAATAACTTTTCCTACTAAGGCGGAGCTGCCCAAACAGGTAGCACACCGAGTTTAAACCAAGATTAACTAATCAAACCTTCATGTCCAAAAATTGTCAATACAAATAACAACAATGGAACAGAGCATCCTTTGAAAGATGTGAAATGCAGTATACTTACACTACATTAAATATGACAGTTCTTAAAGTTGTTCCTTAAGGAGTGGTTAAATTTAAAGAATTGGGCTGAATGAAAGATGTCAACAACGGAACACTTGTCCATCCAGTCTTACATGTTSGAGCCAGAGTCTGACCCAAAGGCGGGGCAGCGGATTGGTTAGGGGAGTCATCCTGGAACTGGAAAGTCACCGGTTCGATCCCCCGTCCAGCCGTCTCAGTRGTTGTGTCCTTGGGCAAAACACTTCACCTGCCTTGCCTATTGATGGTGGTCCGAGGGTCCGGTGGCGCCGGTGCATGGCAGGCCCGCCTCTGTCAGTGTACCCCAGGGCAGCTGTGGCTACASTGTAGCTTACCATCATCAGTYMGTTTGCATGGGTGAGTGACTGTAAGTGTAAAGCGCTTTGGGGTCTGGAGGGACTTGATAAAGRGCTATATAWGTTCAGTCCGTTTACCATTTTACCATAAAGGGGACATACCATGCAAACTTCACATTATAATGCATTTTGCTGTGTACTCTCTAAGAGTGCAGAAAATTTTAATTTAGTTTCACCCAGTGATATTATATTCTTTTTTGTCATATTTTTCATCCCATTCAGTTTTCTCTATTTTCTATGATGTTTTCTGAACTATTAAGTCAAATTATTTGTGACWGAACTGCTAAATCAGGTCTGAACTTACCAACTACAATATGGTGGTCTTCATTCTCCTATGATAATGGGTCAGACTATGGCTTGAACACATAAGACTGGATGGACAAATGTTCCCTTGTTGACATTTTTTAATTCATTTGAAAATAAAGTGTCTTCGTCGCTATTTAGTCGTAAACTCCTCTATCAAACTAGAATGGACAACTCTGGAAGCTGCAGGGGTGGGGTTTGAAGCATCYTTTTTGGATTTAAAGAGACAGCCTCAAAATGAATTGATCTGAGACACCTCAGAAAAGGGGTGAAAGAGGGGCTTGTGGAGTTACAATAAGGGGGAATCCAAACCAAAGCATTGCAGTTCCATTTTATATAGACCCCAACCAAAGGATTTAAATGTGAAAAATAATTTAAAAGCACGATATGTCTCCATTAAAAATAGTTTACTCATGTATTATGCAGGTGTAAATGATTTTATAACCCACCTTTACTTAAGTTTGATTTTTTTCTTTGTTCATCATGGAAAAATAAATAAAAAATAGTCAGCTGATTGAAAGTTTAAGACTTTGTGTGAATGCAGCCCGTAGGAAGCCAATCAACAGATCCAGGCAGAAGGAAATAAAGCCCAGAGGTTGAGGTGTGAGATCACACAACGAAGAACAGCGCACTGTGGTACTTCTGTCACATGGCTCACCCTTGATATTATAGGCTGATGCTGCCTGCCATGAACTCCTCCAGCTCTGTTAGCTCACTGCAGGAGCCAGTCAAGGTCTTATATAAAGCTCGGGAGTTACGAATAGAAGTTTGCTTCCTCCATCAATCTGCTATGTTATCCACACTTCCAACTTATTTCAACCCAAAAGATACATAGCAAATATGAAAATAACTCACTGTTATTGCCCATGCAACTGCTTGTCGGGGACATGCGTAGTCAACCAGTGGCTTTTGCCCACTAGGCGAGGGCATTCTTCACACCTGTCTGCAAGGATAAGTGGGCTTGTCACAAGCAGAGCTAATCTGTTGCAACGCTCAGTCACACTCAATCCCCTAGTGGAACTCTGCGCTTGTCCTTGAATGTTTGCTGGCACTGGAAGCATACTTGGGCCGCTGATCAGTCTAACCATGGTGGAAAACATGTCAATGAAGAGCAGCAGTGGCTCGTCTTTTTACAGACAGAGTACTTTTGCCCTTTACAGTTAGCACTTTCATTGCCCTTTAGTCTGGCATGAGCTTCCTAAAACAGATTTGTGTGCTCTGTGCGCGGGTAATTAGCCAGTATCTCATGGTTCACAGCAGCTCTCCTCTAAACATTTAATCGTCAGTCGAGACAAGACATGAATGGAATCAGAACCGTGATTTATCTCCGAAACCATCGACGCTGAGTGAAACACGAGAGAGAAAACAGCAGGGAGCTCTCAAAGGCCCAGAGAGAGCAGTAACACGTACCGAATTTAGATTATAAAGTAGGTCCGCTCATGTGCAATGAGTGATCAAACCTTTTTACACTGATTATTTTGCAAACTTTATGTTTCTGTGTTTTCCACGAACAGTTACTCATTGTGACTTGTAGTAAACGGAGGAGGAAATCTTGCAGTTTGTCAGTCATAAAATCAAGATGCGAGAAAATGAGACATACTGATTATGACAAACATCAACAGCAGCAGATTTCAGCTTTTTCTCGTCTTTTCCTTTTGATGTAAGAAATTTGCTTTGTTCTGAGGGTACTGAATTCTAGCAGGAGCAGAAATTCACTCGTGGAAACGTTGCTCTGACTAGCCAAGATCAAAGGATTAGAATAATGAAAAGACAGTGTTTTTTCCTTCAATTTTATTGCAAAATTTCTTTAGGAGATGGCCTGATATCAAAGCTGTGCAACAGTTTTATGCAAGCATTTTTTAAACAACTAAATGACAGAATGTTGAAGAGCAAACTTAAGCATCAAATAAAGCACTGCGATAGCTTTTAATAAATAAAAATATATATTTAGATTTTTTTAAATTGTTTAAAGCTGTCAGTTTTACTGGCTTGTTCAAATAAATAAAATATTGTTGAAAAATGTTAGAGTTATTACAGATGTCCTTAACTCCTGTTCCTGTGCTTTTCCAGCCAAAATGTAAATCTGGCTCATTCAAATTGCAGTGCAGCACCATTAAATTTAAATAAAGTTATTCAGATTGGAGCAAACTGAAATGAAAGTTGGAGAAAACTAGATTTATTTTCTGAGTTCGTCCCTAATGTGTAAAAAATGTAATCCTGTATGTAAAATACAATACAATACAACCACTCTTATTAAAAGCACTTTGAAAACACTACTGGCCAAAAAGCTTTAG